TCGACTCAACTCAAATTTTTTGAGTCGAGTCGAGTTATCTTTAAAACTCGACTCGACTCGACTCATTAGGAGCTCTACTCATAGGCAACTTTATAATAATAATAATAATACTGATAAGTTAGATTATCAAAAGCTATACAAATATTTCATAAATTGTATTTTTAATATATTATGCTAATCAAAGTGATTAATACATATATATGCTTTTTTTCTGTTTGATATTTTCAAAATAAGAAAGAGTTAATAATTTCAATCCTAAATTTTAATACATTTTGAGAATATTAAATAATATCTTTACTAATTGATCTTAAATATACTGTAAATAGTGATATTTTCTTAAATAATATGATATCAAAGAAAGGTTTGATACTATAATATTCACTATTATCTTATACCTATTATCAAACTATTACAAGTATGCAAAATATAAGTGAATATCTATTAATGTATTGATTTCATCACTTATAATTATAGGTATAAAATAAGTGGATTACTTACTAGATAGATATTGTTAAAGTATAATATTCTTTTTGTTATTATATTCTGCAATAATAACATTACATAATGAGTTAATTATGGATTTAATATCATTTTAATGAGCAAAAAAACTAATTTTACAATCTTGATTAGAAAAAGTTGAGAGATATATAATATTAATAAATAAATATTTGTATTATTATGAGAATAGATTTTATCTGCCTATTAAGCATAACTTAATTTTTAACTTTTAATTAGATTTTATTGAGACATTAATCTTTCTCTTATATACAAAACCAGAAATTTGTGATGATTGCAGATCTACTTTGTATTTTTTATCACAGTAAGTTTTCAAATTAAGGAGTTTGGGAACTTTTTAGTTAAATTTTAAATAATTAGGTATTTTAATTAGATTTTTTTTTCAATTCTTATATCTTACTTATTACCTTTCTTTAATGTTGCAAATGAACATTAACATCTTTAATATAACTTACAAATGATTGGCATAAATTTACTATAATTCTACACAATTGTTTTTACTTAGTAACTCTATATAAACTAAGATTTTAGTTTAGAAAATAATTAAAAATACGCAAATCCAATATCTTAGTCAAATTAGGAATTTATGAAATACATATGATTATCACATAATTTTGAGAAGTATGTGAATTTTTGTGATCTTCTCCTTCTAAAAGCAAATATAGACTTGTTTTAGCAAAAGTTAAAATTTTATTTAATTATACTGAAATTTTAAAGAATTGTATTAATAATGCTAATATAATGATTAAAGAAAGAAGATATTTGATTTTTTTTGTGATTAAAAATGAATTATCCATTTTTTTTTTGACATTAAAAAGTTTTTATTTAGCCAAATATAACTGTTCAAACAATATAGGCATAGCATTTATTTTATTTAATATTTAGTGGTGTAGCATTATCACAAACTTTAATATACTGTATATATAATATTTTTTGAAATTTTAATTTTGTTAATTTTAAATATAAAAGAATTCTTTACAGTAATAACTAGAAAAAACAGGTCGATCAGAAGCTTTTGATTGACATAAAAAAAATCTTGATAATTATTGGATTATACCATAAAAAGAAGGGGAATCTTAACCTAGACCCCTGTATCTAAGATAATATCCTAGACTCCCAAATTTGATTGGTTCATCATCATTAGCCACATTAGTTATTTACTTGTTTATCATTTACTATTATTAATAATAAAGGCAATTTTAACTATTTTAACCTAGACCTCGAGGTTTAGGTGATTTAAAATAGACTACGGGAGTTCAGATTATCTTAAATAAACCAGGGAGATTCATATTTTAATCTAGACCTTTGTGTAATCACATATAATTATGCAATCATGTACTTGCGCATTTATATTTTATTTTCCAATTATATCAATGCGTCGCGTAGTACTTTATTTTATTTTAGCAGGTTTTTAAATTATGTTATACTTGGTAATAAATACTATTTTATTTGAAAACTTATAATGTTTGAGTTTTCAACTCCCTTAATTTCAAACCTGTCCTATCAATCTCAAATAAATGATACATTTGAAAGTTATGAAGAATTTGTAGATAAAATTAAGAATTATGCATATGAACTTCATTTTACAATTATGCTTGGAAAGGTTGAATATAATGGTTCTAGAAAAACAAATTCTAAGGAATCCAAAGAGAATTCTTTAACAATTATTGTAGAAAAAAAATTAGAAAAAGAACATTATTATGCTCTCGAGCTAGTCATATTGAATCAAAAGATAACTCAGAAAGTGTAAATATAAACAGTAAAGGACGTGAAAAATCATCTCAACATTGTGACTGTCCTTTTTATATCCATGCTTCTTTAAATACAGTCAGAGATTTTACTAAAAATGAAAATCGATTCTAGAATGATCTACAGAAATTTTATTGGCTCTTATCTACTTTCATATACTTTTTACTTTGTAAATTTTCATCATATTTGTTCATTGCTAAAAATTGTATGAATAGTCGTCCAGTTTTCATAATCACAAATAATCCCTCCTAGAAAACTCTCTTTGAAAAGTAAATGGGGCCTTAAAATTTAGGATTTGTCATATAAAGTGAAATAAAAATTCAATTTTATTAACCAAGCTAAAATTTTTAAATATCCTTCTTTTTATAGTGTCTACCTATCTAAAACCAAAAGCAAAAGACCTTCTATGCCTCTTTGCAGAGTTGGTTAAAAAATACAGTGATATTGGATTAAGATTGTGTGAGACAAAGGAATCACAAAAATGGTGGCATGCTAGTAACCAGGAAACAGTTAAGCGACTTATCCTTTACTATGACTATCTTACTGAACTTTCTAACTTTCATCATTCTTTATAATCTTATTCAATTTGTGAGAAGCATTACAATCAAATCATTGCCACAAATCAGTTTTACCAACATCTTGTAGTATCTGTTCAAGAAAATAAAA